CAGCCAATTTCTGCCAAAGTGGGGCGAGGAGGGGTCCCACAGATGTCACAGGTGAGATGACTCTCAGATGACTGCCAGTATTTGGAAACACATTCTGTAGGCAGCTCGTGCATTTTTCTCCTTTTCTGTCATGACTTGCCCTGTGGTCACTCTTCTGATGATCAGTGTGGGAGGTAGGGAAGGAACAGTTCAAACGAGCAAGTCTGATCATAGTAACTCCTGCTTTCTTGAGAACTATGTGGCAAGCATTGAACTACTTTGCATGCTCATTGTCTCATTTAATCCTAACTCACGAGGATGATGTGTGGTATTACTGTACCTGTAAGATGTGCTTGTTAAAACGGAGTTAGGGAGGTTGAGAAATCTGCTCAAGGTTATACAACTGAGGCAGGAGAATGGAGAAAATGAGGCAGGAGAATAGCAAAAGGAATTAAAGGTTGGATAAAGGAGGGCTGGGCACAGTGGCTTACGCCTGTAATCCCAGCACTTTGGGAGGCTGAGGCAGGCGGATCACAAAGTCAGGAGATAGAGACCATCCTGCCTAACATGGTAAAACCCCGTCTCTACTAAAAATAAAAATTAAAAAAATTTTTTAAAAGTTGGATAAAGGACAGAACAAGTAAAAGCAGAGAGCAGAAGTAAGGTGAAAGGGCAGGTGAGCAAGAAGCAAGATAAGAGAAGGAAGCTAAGCAGCCAATACCAAAAGGAAGAGAAGTGAGCAAAGACTCCATGGCCAGAGGATCTGGACCAGATCAGCAAGGAGCAGCTCTTCTGGGCTAGGCACACACATTAGAGAGAAAAAGTATCTTTAACATGACCCCGTGTGATGATCCACTCATTCAAGCTCATGCGTATGGACTCATATCATGCATGTACTTAAAACTATGGGATGGAGATGACACAGAAGCTCACAGCGTCCAAATAACTAAGCAACACACCTACCAATCAAAAAGGCAGACACTGGGCAGGGAGGGGGAGGTTGCAGTGAGCCGGGATCGTGCCACTGCACTCCAGCCTTGGTGACTGAGTGAAACTCCGTCTCAAAAACCGGCAAACAAACAAAAAGGCAGACACTGGCTAGAGGTCAGGCAACCTTGGGAAGAGAAGAAAAAAAAACTTATAAAGTAACCTAAAGTACAGCAAACTAATGCTGCTCTCATCTCAAAGAGACCAGCTTGCTCTTCCCTCTCCGAGAGTGCAGTACTGTGCTTAATCAACTGTTTTTTGTTTTTCTTTTTTGAAATGGAATCTTGCTCTGTCACCCAGGCTGGAGTGCCATCTCTGCTGACTGCAACCTCCCCCTCCCGGGTTCAAGTGATTCTCCTGCCTCAGCCTCCAGAGTAGCTGGGATTATGGGCTCACCCACCACCACGCCCAGCGAATTTTTGTATTTTCAGTAGAGATGGGGTTTCACCATATTGCCCAGGCTGGTCTTGAACTCCTGACCTCAAGTGATCCACCTGCCTTGGCCTCCGAAAGTGCTGGGATTACACGTGTGAGCCACCATCCCCCTCCTGCACTTAACAAACATTTGCTGCTTTGCTTTGCCCTCTGTGTGTGTCATGTCCAATTCTTTGTTCGGGACACCAAAAGCCTGGAACTGCATGGCACTCTCCGGCAACACCACCACAAATGGCAGAGCCTAGATTTGATCCAGTTCAGTCTGAGAGCAAAGAATGAGCTCAACCACGGTGCTGTTCTTTGCCTCTCCTGTTTCATGATGTGTGTGTGTGATAAAATTGGGTAAGCATAGCAAATCAAAACCACAAAGAGTTACCACTTTATGCCTACTAGGATGGCTATAATGTTTTTAAATGGAAAAATTACAAGTATTAGCAAGGATGAGGGGAAATGAAAACCCTCATTGGTGATGGTAGGAATGTAAAATGGTGCGGCTGCTGTGGAGAACAGTCTGGCAACTTCTCAAAAAGTGAAACATAGAATTACTATATGATGCAACAGTTCTACTCCCAGGTATACACCCAAGAGAACTGAAAACCTATGTCTACACAAAAACCTACACAGGAAGGTTCACGGCAGCACAGTTCATAGCCCCAAAACAGAAACAACCCAGATGGCTGTCAGCAGATGAAAGGAAACAAGATCTGTGTACACAGTGGAGACAGGTGGAAGTGGAGACAGGTTCATCCTCAGCCATGGAAAGGGATGGAGACCGGTCTACCCTGCAGGATGCCTTCACCCTGAACTTCAGGCTAACCGAAAGAAGCCAGTCATAAAAGAGCCCTGCTGAATAATTCCGTTTTTGTGAAATGTCCAGAATAGGCAAATTCACAGGGACAGAAAGTAGTGGGTGCCAGGGGCTGAGGGAAGGAGAATGAGAATACCACCAATGGACGTGGGATTTCTTTTTGGACTGTTGAAAAATGTTCTGGGATTAGATAGTGGTAATGGTTGCACAGTGTGGTAAATGTACTAAAATCCACTGAATTGTACACTTCAACATGGTGAGTTTTGACTGGGTGCGGTGGCTCACATCTGTATTCCCAGCACTTTGGGAGGCTGAGGCAGGCGAATCACCTGAGGTCAGGAGTTCTAGACCAGCCTGATTAACATGGTGAAACCCCATCTTTACTAAATACAAAAAATTAGCAAGGTATGGTGATGCATGCCTGTAATCTCAGCTACTTGAGAGGCTGAGGCAAGAGAATTGCTTGAACCTGGCAGGCAGAGGTTGCAGTGAGCCGAGATTGTGCCACTGCACTCCAGCCTGAGAGACAGAGCAAGACTCATATTAAAAAAAAAAAAAAAAAAAGTGAATTTTATGTTATATGAGCTGTATTTTAAATTTTTAAAAAGGCACCCTGAGGGTCAGATCTGGGAGATCTTTGAATACTGGACTCTAGGGTCCAGGCTTTATTGTGTAACAGGGAGCCGCTGGAAGTTTCTAAAGAGGATATTGACAAGATAGGGGTCAGGTAAACATGTAAAGTGCTTAACACAGGGGAAGTGTTCAGTAAATATTGGCTCCCTTCTCTTCCCTTATGACCCGCTCCCCAAATTCAAGACCAAGCTTCCATTCCTCCTATGGAAAAATCGTTCTTTTCTCTTTGGATACTAATGGAAAACCCATCTTTTCTTTTCTCTCTTTTAAAAAAATGTTTTAATTTTTTTGAACAGGCTGGAGTGCAGTGGCGTGATCATGGCTCACTGCAGCCTCGACTTCCTGGGCTCCAGGAATCCTCCTGCCTCACTCAGCCTCCTGAGTAGCTGGGACTATAGACAGGAGCCACCAGGCCTAGCTAATTTCTTTTTCTTTTTCTTTTTTGAGACAAGAGTCTTGCTCTGTCGCCCAGGCTGGAGTGCGGTGGTGTGATCCCCACTCACTGCAACCTCTGCCTCCCTGGTTCAAGCGATTCTCCTGCCTCGGCCTCCCGAGTAGCTGGAATTACATGTGACCGCCACCATGCCTAGCTAATTTTAGTATTTGTAGTAGAGACTGGGTTTTACTATGTTGGCCAGGCTGGTCTCGAACTCCTGACCTCAGGTGATCGCGCCCCCACCCCCCGCGCCCTCCCAAAGTGCTGGGATTACAGGCGTGAGCCACCGAGCCTGCCTGTTTTTTGTTTGTTTTACGAAGCTACTTTTGATACTTTGGGGTGTGCCCCACATGAATAAAAATCACTGGGAAGGGGTAGCCCCCTTACCCCCGGGAGTGCCCCGTGGGAGAGAGGCTGCCCGACAGGGGGAAGCTCGGAAGGACCTGCTTCAGACCCAGGGCGTAGGGAGGCCCCGCAGGAGGAAACGCGGGCGCGGTGGCGCTGGCTCCAGGCACAAGGGCCACGGGCAGGAGGATCGGATAGGAAGCCACAAGGCTCGTTGGGTTCCTCCTCCTTCCCGTCTGCTTTTTTCTGCTTCTGCAGTCTGATCTCCGAGTCCCGCTGCATGCGGGCGGCGGCCGAAAGCCCGCATCTTGGCGCTGTCTCCCAGCCAAGTTGCTCTGTGTTTTTCTGCTCTTCTGACGGGAGAGCTGACGCTGGGTACCCGGGGGATGGCCACGGCCCAAACCACCCGCCATGTCATTCCCCAGCCCACGCCTGCCCCAGCCACACTCCCTCTGGTTTTCCTGAGGTTCTCCAGCCGCTCAATGATGGGCAGGTTCATCTACGGCCTAGAGCATCCTCCTCTCTTCCCTCTCCCCCTCCCTCTTTTCCCCCTCCCTCTTTTCCCCCTCCCTCTTCTCCCCCTCCCTCTTCTCCCCCTCCCTCTCCTCCCCCTCCCTCTCCTCCCCCTCCCCCCTCCCTCTCCTCCCCCTCCCTCTCCTCCTCCTCCCCCTCCTTCCTCCTCCTCTCCCTCCTCTTTCTCCTTTATTTACAGCCTAGAGCATCCTCCTTTTCCTCCTCCTCCCTCTCCTCCTCCTCCTCCTCCTCTCCTCCTCCTCCTCCCTCTCCTCCTCATCCTCCCTCTCGCTCTCCTCCTCCTCCTCCCCCTCCCTCTCCTCCTCCTCCTCCTCCAGGAACCCCTCTTCTTCCTTCTTATTCTTTTCCTCCTTATTCTTCCTTCTCCTCTTCCTCCTCTTCTCTCTTTGTTCTGTTTTTCTTCCTCCTCCTCCTTTTCTCTTAATTTTCCTCCCCTTCTTCTCCCTCTCCTTTCTCCTTATCCTCCTCTTCTCCTCTTACTGTTCTTTTCTTTCCTTCCGTTTTCTGTTCTTCTCTTTTCCTTTTTTTTTTTTTTTTTTTTTTTTGAGATGGAGTCTTGTCTGTCACCCAGGCTGGAGTGCAGTGGCACAATCACGGCTCACTGCAACCTCTACTTCCCAGGTTCAAGCAATCCTGAATAGCTGGGATTACAGGCATCCACCACCATCACCCCCGGCTAATTTTTGTATTTTTAGTAGAGAGGGAGTTTTACCACGTTGGCCAGGATGGTCTCAAACTCCTGACCTCAGGTGATCCACTCACCTCAGCCTCCTACATGTTGGGATTACAGGCATAAGTCACTGTGCCTTTTTTTCTTTCTCCTTTTTTTTTTTTTTGGAAGAATAATTGAAATCAAGGTTTCCTAAAAATTCTTCCTAGATCTCAGCTTCACCGAATCATGTCGTGTTCATTCACCCACGATGTGACTGCTGCGCTTTCCCTGTCTCCGTTTCATTCCATTTCTCCCTCCTTCCTCCCTCTCTCACCCACACAGTGAGGAGCACGATAAAAAGGGACCAGGCAGTCCTGGGTTCCAACCCTACCTGGCTCCCTGTCCTGTAGACGCTCTGACTCTGCTCAAAGCCAGTTTCGTCCAGTAACCACAGCAGTCATACCAAGTTCTAGGGATCTTTCGAGGATAGTGTGTATTAGCCATAGTGGATCCTCTGATGCCTGACACATCTGCTGTGCTCAAGAAATGACAACTCTTGCATTACAGTGACTACGGAGTTAGGGGACAGTGTATGGCGAAATGCTGATCACTGTTGAAAAGTTGGTTTCATCCCTCTAGTCTCAAATCCAGTATTTTAAGGATGTGCTAAATGCTTTGTCCTGGAGAGCTATCTTAAGGGACAAAATCCTTTTCCCAACATCATCTGAGACACATCCTGACAGTAGAGAGCTATTCCAAGAAGTAATTGGAAGTGCCATTATCAGGCAGGGACAGGGACTCTAGGGGATTTTGGGGTCAGCAGATATGAAATGAACGATTTCACACAGCTGCGGCAGGAATTTCCCACGAGACCCCGCCCCCGGCTGAGTCACAGCACTCCTGGGTGTGATCTGAAGCCCTCCCGAGCTGCAGAACCCTGAAGACCAAGGAGTGGAAAGTTCGCCAGCAGCCCCGAGATCTCAAGGTCTGTCCATTTGGGGGAGTGAGTGGGGACACTGGGAGGGGGTGAGGATAGAACCTTTGCTCCCTTTGCCCATTTCTAGACTTTTTCTCCTTCTAATTTAGAATGACATCTCTTCAATAGCCCATTAAATAAACATCAATAACTCAGCCTGAAGAGACGTTTTCACTCCTTCACTCCTTTGTTACTGTACAAGCTTCACATCTCAAAACGGGCTAGGACATGGCTCTGTTTGAGAAAATGTGTCAGTGTGTTGGACAGCGAGGACTTTCCACATGTTTCGGTGTTCAGCTCAAGGGAGAAGAGTGACTGGGATAGCTTCTTTTTTTCTCTCTCTCTTTTTCATAAATAACCTAATTTTTAATTTGTTATTATTGTGGATACATAATAATTTACATTAATGTATTTATGGGGCACACGTGATACTTTGATACATGCCTAGAATGTGTAATGATCAAATCACAGTAGTTAAAATATCTATCAACTCAAAAATTTATCATTTCTTTGTGTTGGGAACATCTTAAATCTTCTAGCTATTTCGAAGTATGCAATAAATTATTGTTAACTATAGTCACCATACTGTGCTATGGGATAGCTTCTTCTTAACTGAATCGTCTGATGCCCCTGACAGATTCTCTTTGTAAGGTGTTTATTTCAGGGGCAGCAAGTAATTGACATTATTGAGAGCTGAATGGTACTTCGCAGTGCCTATGAAAGTCCCCAAAAGTTCTGGCTATTGCTATTTCCGCATTTTAGCAGAACATGATGGAAAATGCACCCTCAGACGCTGGCAAACCTGCACAAAGTTGTGTGCCTAGTCACGCCTGCCTTGTCTCAGTCGTTTCTATGAATTTACTACTTTTCCATAGTATTGCATCATTAATTGTTCCTGAAAAACCCTGAGTTATCCTCTTGTAGAATTGTATAGGTAATGATTGCAATATAGATAATTTCGAAAGGAGAAACCACCTTTCCTTGGAAATGTTTACTTTTGCAGAGTGACATTTGCGAGACCAGTTAATTTGATTAAAATTCTCTTGAAATAGGCTTTGCTTGTATCATACCTGTGCCAGATTTCATCATGGGAAACAGCTGTTACAACATAGTAGCCACTCTGCTGCTGGTCCTGAACTTTGAGAGGACAAGATCATTGCAGGATCTGTGTAGTAACTGCCCAGCTGGTGAGTGCCCAATTATCATGTGCATTTGATCTGTTCTGTTGGAAGCATGGTTCAATTAGTCTAGTAGTTAAGGCTAATGAGCTCCCTTTTAAGGAAATGAACATGAAAAATCCATTCATTTACACATATTTATTGGATGCTACCACCTAGCTATGTGAACACAGCCAAGTCATTCAACCTCTTGTGCCTTGACTTTCTCATCCGAGAATAATAAGAGAACCTGTTTTATGGGATGCCTGAGAGGATCCACTGAAAGACTTATAACAGTGCATGGCACACGGCAAGACTTCAATACATGTTAGTTTTGTGTGTAGGGCTTTGTGCTCAGACTGGGGGCATAGCAGCAAGTAAGCAGGTACTGATAAAGTGGGAATGTCAGGCACATTTAAATTTCAGTGTAGGACATTGATGTCCTTCTAGATCCAGTCATATTGAACTCCTAGATCAATCAAGATAATCATTTTGTTTTATTCAATAGATAAAGTATTTTCTTTCTGCTGATTTATTTCTTACAATATCTGTATTTTGTTGTTTCTTTTCTTTTTTTGAGACAGCGTCTCGCTCTGTCACTCAGGCTGGAGTGTAGTGGCATGATCTCAGCTTACTGCAACCTTAGCCTCCCAGGTTCAAGTGATTCTCCTGCCTCAGCCTCCCAACTAGCTGGGACTACAGGCACGCACCACTGCACCTGGCTAATTTTTATATTTTTAGTAGAGATGGGGTTTCACTATGTTGCCAGGCTGGTCTTGAACTCCTAACCTCAGGTGATCTGCCTGCCTCAGCCTCTCAAAGTGCTGAGATTACAGGCATGAGCCATTGCGCCTGGCCTGCCTTTTTTTTTCTTTTGAGACAGAGTCTCACTCTGTTACCCAGGCTGGCGTGCAATGGTGCAATTTTGGCTCACTGCAACCTCCGCCTCCCAGGTTCAAGCGATTCTTCCACCTCAGCCTCCTGAGTAGCTGGGATTATAGGCATGTGCCACCATGTCTGGCTAATTTTTGTAGAGCGCGGTTTCACCATGTTGGCCAGGCTGGTCTTGAATTCCTGACCTCAAGTGATCCACCAGACTCAGCCTCCAAAGTCCTGGGATTACAGGTGTGAGCCACCATGTCTGGCCTGAATTTTGTTATTTCTAATTCTGTGATTGCACAAAGAACAATCTTGCAAATGTATCATTTTAGGAAGTCAATCAAACTAATGTCTATCACTGTGGCTTCTAGAAAACTAATCATTCTTTTCTAATCTTATTTTCTTGTAAACTTCAAAATGCCTTGGGTGATGATTGCCCGTTGTCAAACGTGTACTGCTATTTTCTGCCTTTTTTAGGTACATTCTGTGGGAATAACAAGAATCAGACTTGCATTCCCTGTCCTCCAAATAGTTTCTCCAGTGTAGGTGGACAAAGGGTCTGTGTCCTATGCAGGCCGTGTAAAGGTATGAGTTCAAAGATGTTTTTTTCTTCTAGAAGATAGTCGTGAAGATAAGCTTTTCTTTCCTATTCACTAACTGCTCTCTACTGAAAATCTCAAGTGTCAAGGACTCTGATTCTTCTGTCAACCAGTAGGTCCAGTAAAATAATTTATGATGATAGCAATTATTTGTGGACTGAGCTTTCTAAATATTAGAGGGAACATTCATTTACTGAGAGAGAAGTGTTGACTTTCCAAAATGTAAAAATGTCTTTACAGAGATTTAAAAGTAAACTTTAACATCACTGGGAACATTATAAGTAGAGTGAGAATAATTGTGACTGCACAACATAAATTTATTCCTAGATTTGGAGGTCAAGTGTAATAAAATGTTGGGGGCTGTGGGGACTTCACAGGTGTTTTCAGGACCAGGAAGGCGTGTTCCTCCGCCAGCAATGCAGAGTGTGACTGCATTTCAGGATTTCGATGCCTGGGGGCCGGATGCCGAATGTGTGAACCAGATTGTAAACAAGGTCAAGAATCAACAAAAGAAGGTAGGTTTACACTTCTTTGATCTAGTGTAGTTTTGTGATGTAGGCACACTTAGCTTCGGCCTTGATCCTTTGAGTATAAACAAAGAGATCTGTAGAAACTCAAAGTAACAAGTGATGAGTATATGAGTATATGATATTAATATCATCTTTTAATTAATGAAATATTTCCGTTATTTTGTCACAAATGGAAATAATTTGAAATCAGAACATTCGTTAATTGCCAGAACCATTCATCTTCACACGCATCAGACACAAACAATACTCTAACTACCGTTAGAATAGAAACTAGCCATCTTAGGGTGTTGTTTCAAGAATTATTGAACAATTGGTGTAGATTGCATTATGGTAATGACTTGATTACATTCATCACAGGAAAAGTTATAAAATGATGAAAATGCTTCCATTTTATCATTGCTTTCGTTTTTAATGCAAGGTTGTAAAGACTGTGGCTTTGGGACATTTAATGATCAGAAACGTGGCGTCTGTCGACCCTGGACAAAGTATGTATAATTTCCTTTAATGTATTGAGTAAAGAATCTTGGTTAGGCCAGGTGTGGTGGCTCACTCCTGTAATCCCAGCACTTTGGGAGGCCGAGGAGAGTGGATCATGAGGTCAGGAGTTCGAGACCAGCCTGACCAACATGGTGAACCCCCATCTCTATTAAAAATAGAAAAATTAGCCAGAGTGGTGGTGTATATCTATAATCCCAGCTACTTGGGAGGCTGAGGCAGGAGGACTGCTTGAACCCAGAAGTTGGAAACAAGCCTCAGCAACAAAGTGAGATCCTGTCTCTACAAAAAATAAAACAATTAGCCAGGCGTAATGGCACACACCTGTTGTCCCAGCTATATGGAAGGCTGATGAGGCAGGAGGATCACCTGAGTCCCAGAGGTTGGGGCTGCAATGAGCTATGATCGCACCATTGCACTCCAGAGCAGAGACCCTATCTTAAGAAAAAGAAAAAGAGTTGCCTGTGGAGCTTTGAAACTGTCGGCCTCTTCTCTGTTTCCTTCTCATTTCTTTGCTGCCTCTTACCTTCTCTGAGTGATCAGCCCATCTCCATGTTGTTCAATGCCAGCCCCTAGAATGACACAGAAGAAAGTAACAATTGCTCGTTACCCTCCAAGATGTGGCACACACTTGGCACACAAGGCCATCACAGGTGGTAAAAAGCCAATGGTATGTGAGAGAATGTGACCATTGATTTGTGGGACCAGAACTCACACTGTGGTCTGTGGATAGGTGCTGGTCCACTAATGGCTTGTCCTATGCCCCTGTCAAAAGTGGTGTAGGGTTAGAGAACAAGCGTTTAGAAACTTTTAAGGCAAATTGGCAGAGTAGTGTGTCTGTTGACTAAGAATAAGAATTTGGGCATTGTATTTTGTATGTCTCTGCTCTTTTTCCGTTTGCTTTTTCTTACTAGAAAATCATTTTTGTTATTTTACATTTTCATTTTTATTGTATTTTAAAACTGTATTGGTTTGTAACAGATGGGAAAGAGACTTTTTTGGAGAGAAAGTAAAGTGTTTTAAAACAGGAATCGTGGTCTCCATCTGCTTTTGTCCTTTATAATTTATCAGCTTCAGAGTGGCTGACAAATGGATTCATGACACACAAGAAAAGTATTGACTATTTTCTCAGACTTAGCTAAACTCTCTCTTTGGAAAGTAGCTTTTTTAAAAAGGTCTGTTTTTTTTTCCATTTGTTTGTTTTGTTTTTGAGATGGAGTTCCACTCCTTTTGTCCAGGCTGGAGTGCGATGGTATGGGCTCGACTCACTGTAACCTCCACCTCCTGGGTTTAAGCAATTCTCCTGCCTTGGCCTCCCGAGTAGCTGGGATTACAGGTGTGCATCACCACGCTGACTAAATTTTTTTGTATTTGTAGTAGAGATGGGGTTTCACCACGTTGGCCAGGCTGGTCTTGAACTCCTGACCTCAAGTGATCCACCCGCCTCGGTCTCCCAAAGTGCTGGGATTATAGGCCTGAGTCACTGCACCCGGCCGGAAAGTGGCTTTTCGAAAAAGATATTTAAATACAAATTGTTCAGAGTTGTTAAGTGAGTCTGTGTGGAAAGTGGGTTTGAACTGGGCTCTGGAGGATGGGTGGATTTGGGGTAGGCAAAGGACCGAGGGAAAGGTGCAGCAGCAACAGCAACAATGATGGCGATGGTGGTGATGGTGATGATGACAGCTACCCTTTACTCCCTGTGTCAGACGTGCAAGAGGATGTCACTGACTCTCACTCATTTGTTCCTTGAAATAGTTCTGGCAGCACATGCACCTCTAATTTTGCAGATGAGAAAACTGAGGCTTAGGGAGATTTCTTTTTCTTTTTTTCTTTCTTTCTTTTTTTTTTTTTTTTTGGTTTGAGAAAGAGTCTTGCCGTGTTGCCCAGGCTGGAGTGCAGTGGTGTGATCTTGGCTAACTGCACCCTCTGCCTCCTGGGTTCAAGCGATTCTCCTGCTTCAGCCTCCCGAGCAGCTGGGACTGCAGGAGTGTGCCACCATGCCCGACTAATTTTTCCAATTTTTAGTAGAGACAGGGTTTCACTGTGTTAGCCAGGATGGTCTCGATCTCCTGACCGTGTGATCTGCCCATCTCAGCCTCCCAAAATGCTGGGATTGCAGGCGTGAGCCACCGCAACTGGCTTTTTTTTTTTTTTTTTTTTTTTTTGAGATGCAGTTTCCCTCTGTTGCCCAGACTGGCGTGCAGTGGCACAATCTCACTTCATTGCGACCTCTGCCTCCGGGGTGCAAGTGATTCTCCCCCCTCAGCCTCCCAAGTAGCTGGGATTACAGGTACCCGCCATCATGCCCAGTTATTATTTTTTTTTTTTTGTATTTTTTAATAGAGACAGTTTCACCATGTTGGCCAGGTTGGTCTCAAACTCCTGACCTAAGGTGATTTACCCACCTTGGCCTCCCAAAGTTCTGGGATTAAGGCGCGAGCCCCCATGCCTGGGCTAGAGAGCTTTCTTAACTTGCCCAAAGTCATTTTGGAAAGCAGGAGACCGAGGGCTCCAACCCTGGTTTGTCTGATGCCAGTGTGGACCCTCTAACCCTATGCTATCCTTCATCTGTGCTGGAGATGGTCAAGTCTAATTAAAAAGTTGGGGGTGAGAGACTAACCAGGCAAAACAGCCCGAACTGAGCTGTCACCGAATAGAAGGAAGCCACGGAAAGCTGCAGGGAGCCAGATGGTCAAGTGGAAGTTTTTCCAAAATATCTTTGCATTTCTTGCAAACCCAGACCCACATATCTTTTTCACTAGGCTACTTCATTGGGTGAAAAATGAAAAAGTTTCAAATCAGAATCCTCTGGACCTAAGTTAATTATTTAAACTTTTTTCATTCAACTGTCTAAGCTGCTCTTTGGATGGCAAGTCTGTGCTTGTGCATGGGACGAAGGCAAGGGACGTGGTCTGTGGACAGTCTTCAGCCGACCTCTCTCCAGGAGCATCCTCTGTGACCCCGCCTGCCCCTGCAAGAGAGCCAGGTATCTGGGCTATGCCATTAAATCAAAATGAATATCTTTTTTGCTGTTTTTTTTTTTTTTCTGAGATGGAGTCTTGCTCCGTCACCCAGGCTGGAGTGCATTGTTGTGATCTTGGCTCACTGCAACCTCCACCTCCTGGGTTCAAACAATTTTCCTGCCTCAGCCTCCAGAGTAGCTGGGATTACAGGCACATGCCACCACACCCAGCTAATGTTTGTGTTTTTGGTGGAGACGGGGTTTCACCATGTTGACCAGACTGGTCTCAAACTCCTGACCTCAAGTGATCCACCTGCCTCAGCCTCGCAAAGCGCTGGGATTACACACATGAGCCACTGTGGCCAGCCTCAAAGTGAGTATCTTATGGTGATTCAAGATTGTATCTAAATTGCCCCAATATCATGATGTCTCACGTCTCCACCTACAACAGGCACCTCCCAGGTGCATTTGTTCCTGTGTCCTACCCTCAGGGACCCAGCAGTTTTCTCCCAGGCATTTGTTATTCAGTCTGAGATACACATGTGTAAGCAGTGCCAGAGGACACTTCATCCAAACAGAATCTATACTTTTGTCAATGCCAAGGAAAGGGGATTATAGGGCCCCATATACATACATATATATATATCTACTTTTTTTTGTTTTTTGTTTTTTTGAGAGAGAGAGTGCCTTGCTCTGTTGCCCAGGCTGTAGTGCAGTGGTACGATCTTGGCTCACTACAACCTCTGCCTCCCAGGTTCAAGCGATTCTCCTGACTCAGCCTCCTGAGTAGCTGGGATTATGCCCAGCTAATTTTTGTATTTTTAGTGGACACGTTGTTTCGCCATATTGGCCAGGCTGGTTTCCAACTCCTGACCTCAGCTGATCTGCCCGCCTCAGCCTCCCAAAGTGCTGGGATTACAGGCATGAGCCACTGCACCCAGCCATTAAGTTTCTTCCTCCCTCCCTCCCTCCCTCCCTCCCTTCCTTCCTTCCTTCCTTCGTTCTTTCTTCTTTCTATTTTTATTTTTTGAGATGGAGTCTCTCTTTGTCCTCCAGGCTGGAGTGCAGTGACACGATCTCGGCTCACTGCACCCTCCACCTCCTGGGTTCAAGCGATTCTCCTGCCTTATCCTCCTGAGTAGCTGAGATTACAGGCACCTGCCACCATGCCCAGCTAATGTTTGTATTTTTAGTAGAGATGGGGTTTCACTATGTTGGCCAGGTTGGTCTTGAACTCCTGACCCTAAGTGATCCACCCTCCTTGGCCTCCCAAAGTGTTGGGATTACAGGTGTGAACCACCGTGCCCAGACTTTTTAAAAGTTCTCTAAGTTTACTACATTAGCAGGTTGGAGATGCCCAAAGCTCTGAATCTTCTCATGCTTAGGAGTTTACCAATGTAAATATACACCTGAGTGTATGAGCGTCAATACATTTCTGCATGCATTTCTCCTTTGGCTCTGTTTTGCAGGACGCACTCCGCAGATCATCTCCTTCTTTCTTGCACTGACGTCGGCTGTGGTGCTGTTCCTGCTGTTCTTCCTCGTGCTCCGTTTCTCTGTTGTTAAACAGGGCAGAAAGAAACTCCTGTATATATTCAAGCAACGTAAGAGTAACATAATCGTATTAGGGCTCTAACAAGGCAAGGCTTTTTATAGTAGAAAGGAAAAGATGATTTTTAAAAAATTTATAGAAATGAGGTTCATATAGCCCAGTGGTTATCAAGCAGGGGCAGTTTTGTCTCTGGAAATATTTGCAGTGTCTGGAGACAGTAGTGATGGTCACTACTTGGTGGTGGTGGAAGTTGGGGGCTATTGGCACCCAGTAAGGAGAGGCCAGTGATGCTGCTAAACTCCTACAATGCACAGGGCAGCCTCCCAGCAAAGAATGGTGCTGTCGATGGTGCGGAATGGAGAAAGCTTGGGTACAGTAGAGAACACCCCAGTTCTAGAAAAATGACATATTTAAATATGCTGCAGCCTTGGATTATTCCATGTGTGTATATACGTGTACAGGACACTGGCAAGGAAGAATCAGAAAACCATGTTCCCCCCGTGTCCCTCTGGTTGATAAATGGGCTAAATTGTGTTTAGACTATATTTGAGGAAGGCAGAGAGAACAAAGAGGGCGTTTGAAGGGCTTTAACAAAATGGAGTGGCCGGGCACCATGGTTCACGCCTGCAATTCTAGCACTTTGGGAGGCTGAGACAGACAGATTGCCTGAGCTCAGGAGTTCGAGACCAGCCCGGGCAGCATGGTCAAACACATCTCTACTAAAATATCAAAAAATTAGCCAGACACCGTGGCGTGCACCTGTAGTCCCAGCTACTCGGGAGGCTGAGGCAGGAGAATCACTTGAACCCGGGAGGCAGAGGTTGCAGTGAGCCGAGATGGTGCCACTGCACTCCAGCCTGGGTGGCAGAGTGAGACTCCATCTCCCCCACCCACCCATAAAAAGGACTATTACAGCATCAATATGGATTACATGAAAACTTTCAATAATGAATTTCATTCATTCATTTGTTCAACAAGATATTATTTCTATAAGGCACTCAGAAAGTGCCTGGCACAGAGTCAGCACCCACTAGACAAAAGCCATTGATAATTATTTGAAAAAGTATATAGAAGGAGGACAGCCTGTTTTTTGTCTTTACGGATGATAGAATGAGACATAACAGGTTTAATAAGACTTAATACAAGACATTTAATAAAAGGAGCCTTTTGAGAGCAAAACCAAAACAACATATAAGATCAGAACATGTCTATTTGGAGGTTGTTAAAAGATATATGCAGAAAAATCATTAGGAAAGTTTTGTTTTGTTTTTCTTTGAGACGGAGTTTCGCTTTTCTTGCCCAGGGCTGGAGTGCAATGGTGCGATGTCAGCTCACCACAACCTCTGCTTCCCAGGTTCAAGCGATTCTCCTGCCTCAGACTCCTGAGTAGCTGGGATTACAGGCATGCACCACCATGTCTGGCTAATTTTGTATTTTTAGTAGAGACAGGGTTTTTCCATGTTGGTCAGGCTGGTCTTGAACTCCCAACCTCAGGTGATCTGCCCGCCTTGGCCTCCCAAAGTTCTGGGATTGCAGGTGTAAGCCACCATGCCTGACCTATTGTACAATGTTTTACTGAATGATGACATCATTATTTACCTATTCTAATATTGATGGATACTGGGATCATTTCCATCTTAGGGTTATTACATGCAATGACATTTGAATGTTTTTGTCCGTGTATCTCAGCACATGTAAACACGTGTTTCTGGTTTTGTTTTGTTTTTGAACCTAGGAATAACATTGTTGAGATACAAGGAACATATATCTTGGTCTTGAATATGGCGAACTGTTTTCCAAAGTGACTGGACCCCATTGACACTCCCCTGGCGGGAATGAGGTTCCTTTTACTCCGTATCCCCTGATAACTCTTGGTGTCATCAGACTATTTTTGTCCATACGGTGTGTAGATAGTGTATCTTGTTGTGGTTTTAACTTACATTTACTGATTGCTAGTGAGGTTAGATGCCTTTTCATGTTATTTTGGTTATTTGGATTTCCTCTTTAGTGAATTGCCTGATCGAGTCTTTTGAATATTTTCTCATAGGGTTTTCTGTCCTTTTCTTACTAATGTATAGGAAGTGTTTAGTCTGTTGTTCGTGAGCTGCAAATATCTTTTCCTATTTTGTGGTTTGCTCTTTTATGTTTATTTTTGAAACGGAGTCTCACTCTGTCACCAGGCTGGAGAGCAGTGATATGATCTCGGCTCACCACAACCTCCACCTCCCAGGTTCAAGCAATTCTCTTGCCTCAGCTTCCCAAGTAGCTGGGACTATAGGCACTTGCCACCACGCCTGGCTAATTTATTTTTATTTATTTATTTTTATTTTTTTTTTTAGTAGAGACAGGGTTTCACTGTGTTAGCCAGGACGGTCTTGATCTCCTGACCTTGTGATCTGCCCGCCTTGGCCTCCCAAAGTGCTGGGATTACAGGCGTGAGCCACTGCGCCCAGCCTGTGGTTTGCTCTTTCATTCTCTTTTTGAGGTCTACACTTCCAATTTAAACCTCTAAGCTCTCACTTAAGCCTGATTTCAGTTTTGTCTTTTGTTTTTTTGAGACAGGGTCTCACTGTCACTCAGGCTGAAGTGCAATGGTGTGATCACAGCTCACTGCAGCCTCAAACTCCAGAGCTAAAGCAATCCTCCTGCCTCAGCCTACTGAGTAGCTGGGATTACAGGTGCATCCCATCACACTCATCAGCTAATTTTTAATGGATTTTTAATTTTTTGGTAGAGACTGGGTCTCACTGTGTTGTCCAGGCCAGTCTTAAACTCCTGGGCTCAAGCAGTTCTTCCGCCTTGGCTTCCCAAAGTGCTGGACTTAATCCTGATTTAAAGGACTATTTCTGCAACAAAGTTCTGTCCATACCTCAGACTGCAACAAAGTTCTGTATCAGATGCTTTTCAGAAGTATTTATGAGTAACTAGTGAGTTTCAATGGAACTGTAATCCATTTTAGAAAGAAGTTTTAGGTCATTCAAAAGAACTTTTAATTTTGACATAATTATAGATTCACAGGAATTTGCCAAGACAGGAACATCTCTCATGCCATTTATGGGTTCTGTCCTCCAGTACAATGGCAAAGCAGGAAACTGACATTGGCACAGTGTGCATATGTAGCTGTGTGTCCCTTTGTGACACATGGAGATGTACAACGACCAGCACAATAAAATCAGAGCTATCCATCACTGGAGAGATTTCCTCCCTCTATGCCTTTCTAGTCCGGTCCACTCCCTGTCCCTGCCTTCCCCTGGCAACTGCTTATCTGTCTTCCATCTCTACACTTTTGTTATTTTAGGAATGTTGTCTAAATAGCCAGGCACAGTGGCTCACACCTGTAATCCCAGCACTTTGCGAGGCCAAGGTGGGTGGATCATGAGGTCAGGAGTTTGAGACCAGCCTGGCCAGCATGGTGAAAACCCGTCTCTACTAAAAATACAAAAATTAGATAGGGGCGGTGACGTGTACCTATAGTCCCAGCTACTAGGGAGGCTGAGGTGGGAGAATCACTTGAGGTTGCAGTGAGCTGAGATTGTGCCACTGTACTCCAGCCTGGTGACGGAGAGAGACTCTGTATCGAAAAAAAAAAAAAAAAAAAAAAAAGGAATGTTGTATAAATAGAATCATATGGTATGTGTTAAGCTAAATCACAGGCACAGAGAGAGGCTCTCTGAAAGAATATATTTTTTCAGGAGTAGCATTGCAATGGGAATACATAGGTGTATTCAGGGAGGTAAAAGTGACAAGAATTTTTAAAAGAAAAAATCAGGGGCTGGGGTCAGTGGCTCATACCTGTAATCCCAGCACTTTGAGAGGCTGAGGTGGGCAAATCACCTGAGCTCAGGAGTTCAAGACCAGTCTGGCCAACATGGTGAAACCCCATCTCTACCAAAAATACAAAAAATTAGCCCTGCATGGTGGCGTGTGCCTGCAATCCCAGCTACTCAGGAGTCTGAGGCAGGAGAATCGCTTGAACCCGGGAGGCAGAGGTTGCAGTGAGCTAGGATGGCGCCACTGCACTCCATGCTAGGCGGCAGAGCGAGACTCTGTCTCCTAAAAGAAAAACCAAGGAGGGTTACATAAGTTATTTTGAAACAATTATCCTTGACTAAAACCTCAGAAGTATTTTTTTTGTGTAAGGTACAGTAGCCTTTATACAAGGTTGTGGTTTCTCTCACTGCAACCTCCGCCTCAGCCTCCTGAGTAGCTGGGATTACAGGCGCCCGCCACCATGTCTCACTATAGTACAGACAGGGTTTTGCCATGTTGGCCCGGATGGTCTTGAACTCCTGGCCTTATGTGACCTGCCCACCCCAGCCTCCCAAAGTGCTGGTATTATAGGCATGAGCCACCGCGCCTGGCCCATTTGTCAGGGTTTTGACACAAGTTACTCCATTTGATTCTGACAACGCTCACAAACGTGAGCTCTGTATTTTCAGCTGCTCCCCATCACTTGCATTACTGCCTGATCTCCACCTCCTGAAAGATCAGCAGCGGCATTAGATTCTCATAGGAGCACAAACCCTAATGTGAACTGTGCATGTGAGGGATCCGGGTTGCACACTCCTTATGAGAATCTAACGCCTGATGATCTGTCACTGTCTCCCATCACCCCCAATGGGATTGTCTAGTTGCAGGTAAACAAGCTCAGGGCTCTCTTTGATTCAACATTATGGGGAGTTGTATAATTATTTCATTACATATTACAATATTATAATGATAGAAATAAAGTGCACAATAAATACAATGCACTTGAATCATCCAGAAACCATCCTTTTCCCCAGTCCATGGAAAACCTCTCTTCCACAAAACTGGCCCCTGGTGTCAAAAAGATGGGGGACCTCTGCCATATACCACTGTAGTCTTAGAAACACTGTACACTTAACCTAAATTAAATTTATTTAAAATGTTTTCTTTCTTCAATAATAAATTAACCTTAGCTTACTGCATGTAACGTTTTAATTCATAAACTTTATTTTTTTTGAGGCAGTGTCTGTTGCTCAGGCTGAAATGTAGTGGCAAGATCTTGGCTCACTGCAGCCTCCACCTCCCGGGTTCAAGTGATTCTCCTGCCTCAGCACCCCAAGTAGCTAGGACTACAGGCAGCTGCCACCACACGTGGCTAATTTTTGTATTAGTGATGGGAGTTCATCACGAATTCACCATGTTGGCCAGGCTGGTCTCAAACTCCTGAGCTCAGGTAATCTGCCCACCACAGCCTCCCAAAGTGCTGGGATTACAGGTGTGAGCCACCGCACCCAGCCTAACAACTTAAAAAATTTCTTGTAACTTTTTGACTCTTTTGTAATAACTCTTAGCTTAAGACACAAGCACATTGTACATCTGTACAAAAATATTTTCTCTTTATTTCCTTATTCTGTAAGCTTTTATCTATTTAAAAAATTTTTAATTGTTTTTTACTTTTTAAACTTTTTTTGTGAAAAACTAAGACACAAACACACGTATTAGCCTAGATCTACACAGAGTCGGTGTCTGCCACCTCCACATCTTGTCCCGTTGGAAGATCTTCAGGGCAAAAACATGCACGTAACGGTCATCTCCTATGAGAACAACATCTTCTAGAATACCTCCCAGAGGACCTGCCTGAGGTTGTTTTACAATTAACTTTTTTTTTTTTTTTTTTTTGAGATGGAGTCTCGCTCTGTCCCCCAGGCTGGAGTGCAATGGCACTATCTCGACTCACTGCAACCTCTGCCTCCTGGATTCAAGTAATTCTCCTGTCTCAGCCTCCCGAGTAGCTGGGATTACAGGTGCACACCGCCACGCCTAGCTAATTTTTGGTACTTTAGTAGAGATGGGGTTTCACCATGTTGCCCAGGCTAGCCTCAAACTCCTGAGTTCAGGCAATCCACCCGCCTTGGCTTCCCAAAGTGCTGTGATTATAGGCGTGAGCCACCACACCTGACCTTCACTGGTTTTATATACACACACACACACACACACACACACATACATATATATATATATATGTAGAAGGAATATACTCTAAAATAACTATAAAAAGTATACTAGAGTAAATCCATAAGCTACTAACATAGTCATTTATTGTTGTCATCAAGTATTATGTGCTGTACATAATTGCATATGTACAGCTGGCAGCTTAGCAGGTTTTTACATCAGTATCACCACAAACGTGAGCAATGAGTTGTGCTGCAATGTTATGATGTTTGGACATCACTTGGCAATGGCAACTTTTCAGCTCCACTATAATCTTATGGGACTACAATCATATATGCAGTCTGTTTTTGATTAAAACATCATTATATGCTGTATGACTGCATTCCAATCCATGAACATGGTATGTATCTCCATTTATTTATATATTTTAAAATTTCTTTCACCAACATTTTGTAGTTTTCACTTTGCAACTTCTATATATGTTTTGTTGGATTTAGGCCTAAGTAAAAAAACTTTTTTTTTTTGAAGACAAGGTCTTTCTTGCTGTATTACTCAGGCTGGAGTGCAGTGGCATGATCATGCTTCACTGCAATCTCAGCCTCCTGGGCTCAAGCGATCCTCCCACCTCAGCCTCCAGAGTATCTGAGACCATAGGCATGTGCCACAACCCCTGGCTAATTTTAAAATTTTCTGTAGAGACAGTGTCTTGCTATGTTACCCAGACTGGTCTAGAATTCCTGGACTTAAGTGATACTCCTGCCTTGGCCCCCATAGTACTGGGATTATAGGTGTGAGCCCCCACACCCAATTTCTGGATCTAATTTAGAGCTTGTATTTTCTCAGAGTTCCTCTTTCATCACTCTAGGGAAGGAGGGAGGATGGTAGCTTTTTATGGCTAAGCAGGGGTGGAGGATGTTTGGGTTCTGTGCTATACCTCCCGGAGAGCGAGGGTCTCCTTGTTATTGCTAGACATGCATGAGTTCTGACTCCCACTAGGCCTCCTCTGACACCACCCCAGGAAGGAGGGGGAGATGAGCCTTAATCCATGGTGAGGGAGGAAGTCCAGGCTCTCTACTCAGTCTTTCCTGGTGGGCTTGCAGGTGGGGCCACTGTGTTTTGTGTCATATTTTGTTGGGATTAAGTGGTTATTGCCTAGAAGTTTTTAGTCTTGCTATACTGCCCCTTTCCTAGTCTCATAACTAGAGAGTGAGGACAAGCTCTTCTTAGTTTTTGCGTGTGTGTATTTTTTGAGACAGAGTCTTGCTCTGTTGCCCAGGCTGGAGTGCAGTGATGCAATCTTGGCTCACTGCAACCTCCTCCTCCCGGGATCAAGCAATTCTCCTGCCTCAGCCTCCTGAGCAGCGAGGATTACAGGCATGTGCCACCATGCCCAGCTAATTTTTGTGTTTTTAGTAGAGACAGGGTTTTGCCATGTTGGCCAAGCTGGTCTTGAACTTCTCACCTCAGATGATCTGCCCACCTTGCCTTCCCAAAGTGCTGGGATTACAGGTGTGAGCCACTGCTCCCGGCCTCTTTTTGGTTTTTGTTTTGTCTATACCATTGGCGTTTTTAGGTTGCCGGCTTCTCCAGCTTCCTACTCTGGGGGATAATGAGGCAGAAAGAAAACCCAGGAAACCTATTGCCATGTTGTTCCTTGGGTCCTGAGATCCTGAGCCAATTGGCCTTCCTCTCTCTGCCTTTCGGAGTCTTCAGCATCCAGGTTATCAGCTGTGCTCAGCAGGACAAATATGGAAAGCATGACATCTCAGTCTTTCCAGAAGAGATCTCCGTTCTGAAATTCATCCTTGGAACAATTTCAAAAAGCATCCCATTAGTAATTTTTGAACATCTTGCCCATTTTTCATAAGTTCTAGGAGATGGTGTGGTTATTTGGGTTGGGTTATTTTTTATAACGACAAGCATATGAAATTGGGCTAAGACTTTTTGCCTTGCCAGTCTGTAAATTAATAACTGCTTAGGATTGAAAATTGCTGAGCAGTAACACAAATACTTCACCCTAAAACATAAACAAAAACCTGGCCACTCATGCACAAATCAGTTCTTGGTTTCTAACAGATGGAAGTAGTGGGGATACCTTTATACTTGTGGAGCCATAGCATTGTGTTCCAAAGAAGCCACACAATCTCGAATCTAGGTAACCCTCAAGATGAAAGTGTGTGCTGCTGAACTGAAACTGTGATTGGGATATGGCTAATATTTTATGCTTCCGTGATTCATGCTTAAGACTTATTTTTTTTTTTAGATAATGTAGAAACTAATAGAAAATAAAGAAAATAGTTCTTACAGACCAATACAAATTTTGGTAAAAGGAAACAAATTTCAAATAATCTTTAGAGGACGTTCATCCTTGCTGTTACCTCTCTTGTGGATGAGTTTGTTAAAACTATGATGATGCTGCTGATGATTTTATTTAGACAGAGTTTCACTCTTGTCACCCAGGCTGAACTGCAATGGCACAATCTTGACTCAGGGCAACCTCCGCCTCCTGGGTTCAAGTGATTCTCCTGCCTCAGCCTCCCAAGTAGCTGGGATTACAGGTGCCTGTCACCACACCCAGCTAATTTTTGTATTTTTAGTAGAGATGGGGTTTTGCCATGTTGGCCAGGCTGATCTCGAACTCCTGACCTCAGGTGATCTGCCCACCTCAGCCTTCCAAAGTGCTGGCATTACAGGCATGAACCACTGTGCCTGGCTGAGTGTGTTAAAGGAGAGAATGTTTGCTGCTTAGAGATGTTCTATAGATGTAATTTATGGAAAACACGTTAAATGATTCAAGTAGATAATAAAATATATGTATCTTAAATTTTCTTTTTTAGCATTTATGAGACCAGTACAAACTGCTCAAGAGGAAGATGCCTGTAGCTGCCGATTTCCAGAAGAAGAAGAAGGAGGACGTGAACTGTGAAATGGAAATCGATTGGGCTATTGGAACTTTCTTGAAAAGAAGCAAGGAAATACAAGTCATCCCACTATCACATCTTTCTAAAATGAAGAAGACCATCCTATATAATACCCAGGACTACCCCCCAACACATGTTTTTTTCTAAGTGCTAATGAGTTGGCCTTCAAAAATGCACCCTTTTTTTTTTTTTTTTTTTTTTTTTTTTTGACAGAGTCTTTCTCACTCCGTCACCCAGGCTGGAGTGCAGTGGCACCATCATGGCTCCCTGCAGCCTTGACCTCCAGGAGCTCAAGTGATCCTCCCGTCTCAGTCTCCTGAGTAGCTGGAACTATAAGCAAGAGTCACCACACCTGACTAATTTTTTTGTTTTTTGTGTTTTTATTGGTAGAGATGGCATTTCATCATGTTGTCCCGGCTGGTCTCAAACTCCTGGGCTCACTTTGGCCTCTCAAAGTGCTGGGATTATGGACATGAGCTGCCATGCCTGGCCAAAAAAATGTACCATTTTTAACAGAACAGACAGGAGGGGACAGAGCTCTTGGTAAAAAAAAAAAAAAAAAAAAAAAGCATTTTCTAGATACCACTTAACAGGCTTGAGATAGGTTTTTCGAAATCCAAAGAAAATGATAGTTTAAATTCAATTATGTAGGCAGTGGTCCAACTACAGTTACAATCAAAATCAATGCAGGTTGGTTTTTTGGTGCTAAATGACATATGACAATAAGCCACAAGGTGCAGTAAGCACCCCAAGTAAACTTCCCATTGGTTCTGTCATTGAACATGACATGCTCCACCGTCGGGGGAAGTATGAGCAGAGTGCCTGCAGCTGGGGTCAAGGGCAAGAAAACCTCAGGCCTTGAGGAAGGTTTGGAAAGAGACTCTCATGGCCAAACCTGGCGCACCATTTGCCTTTGTTTGTTTGTTTGTTTGCTTGCTTGAGACAGAGTCTTGCTATGTTGCCCAGGCTGGAATGTAGTGGCTATTCACAGGCATGATCATAGCACACTTTAACCTTAAACTCCTGGGCTCAAGTGATCCCTCTGCCTCGGCCTCCCAAGTAGCTGGGATTACAGGTGCAAACCACCTGGCACGGCTGCCATTGTTTGGCTTACGAACTAAGGATAGCTTTTTTTTGAGACAGGGTCTCGCTCTGTCGCCCAGGCTGGAGTATAGTGGTGTGATCTTGGCTCATTGCAACCTCTGCCTCCTGGTTCAATCGATTCTCGTGCCTCAGCTTCCAGAGTAGCTGGAATTACAGGTGCATACCACTGCACCTGACTAATTTTTATGATTTTAGTAGAGATGGGGCTTTGCCATGTTGGCCAGACTGGTCTCAAACGCCTGGCCTCAAGTGATTCCCCCACCTCGGCCTCCCACCGTGCTGGGCTTATAGGGATGAGCCACTGGGCCCAGCCAGCTTTTACATTTTAAGTGGTTTAAAAGTAATCAAAAGAAGAATAATAGCTCATAGCACATAAAATTATATAAAACTGAAATTTCAGCGTCCATAGGTAAAGTCCTACTGGAACACAGCCACATGCATTTATTTATGTACTAAGGCTAGCTTTGCACTACAAGAGCAGTGTTGAGTAGGTGTGACAGAGACACCACAGACCATGAATATTTAGTATCGGAATCCTTACAGGGTGAAAGTCAAGGTCAGAGCCACCATCCATGTGCTGCTTTCCCCGCTCACCTTCTGCCCATCCCCAGGAAACCTTTCTTAGGAATTTTGAGTCTATCTTTCCCTTGTTTAAAAAAATCATTTATCATATATTTATATATCCTAAAACTATGTTATTTCATTTTGCTTGTTTTTGAGCTTTATGAAAATTGTATTGGGCTATGTGGAGACTTCTGTGACTTGTGTGAATCACTCAAAATTATATTTGTAGGACTCACTGCGGCCAGGCGCGGTGGCTCACACCTGTAACTCCAGCACTTTAGGAGGCCGAGCCAGGTGGATCACCTGAGGTCAGGAGTTCGAGACCAGATTGGCCAACATGGTGAAACCCCATCTCTACAAAAATTACAAAAATTAGCTAAGCGTAGTGGTAGGTGCCTGTAATCTACTTAGGAGGCTGCGGCAGGAGAATTGCTTGAACCAGGGAGGCGAAGGTTGCAGTGAGCCGAGATTGTTCCACTGCACTCCAGCCTGGGCAACAGAGCGAAACTCTGTCTCAAAAAAAAAAAAAAGAGTCATTGCATTATTGTGTGTAGCTTCAGTGCATTCATCTTGACTGCTGCAGATATGTCATGAATTATAGATCCATTCTCTACCAAGAGACATTTGGGTTTTTTAAAGGTGTTTTGCAATCATGGGCAACATTGTCATGGATGCTATTTTTTGTATCTCCTGTGCAGAAGTGTCTCCAGGGAAAGTTTCTAAAAGTGGAATTGCTGGGTCTTAGGACATGTGATACTCAACTTTATGAGCTGGTGCCTATATCCGTTAGGACATGCTGAGCTATGCCACAAATAACAAATAATTCCCCAGCTCTTAATGGATTACAACAAAGGTGTATTTCCTTTTTTCTTTTTTTTTTTGAGATAGAGTCTCGCTCTGTCTCCCAGGCTGGAGTGCAGTGGTGCAATCTTGGCTCACTGCAACCTTAGCCTCCTGAGTTTAAGTGATCCTCCTGTCTCAGCCTCCTGAATAGCTGAGACCACAGGCATGTGCCAACATGCCTGGCTAATTTTTGTACTTTTAGTAGAGACGGGGTTTCACCATGTTGGTCAGGCTGGTCTTCAACTCCTGACCTCAGGTGATCTGCCCACTTTGGCCTCCCAAAATGCTGGGATTACAGGTGTGAGCCACCACACTCTGTCATTTCTTACACTTTTGTATAACATGCCTATCACAAGCTTGTGGTGCCTCTGTCCCATGTTATTTTACTCTGGGGTTTAGCGGGAGGGAGAGGCTACTCTTTGGAACACTGGGCTTCGCGTGGCAAATGGATATCTGTCACTTCTGCTCCTATTTAGTTCTTTCTACTGTAACCTTTAGAGCAAATCACGCAGTCAAGCCAGGCATCAGTAAAGCAGAAAAGTATAATCTTTCTTTATTTTTATTTATTTATTTATTTCTTGTGATGGAGTTTCGCTATTGTTGCCCAGGCTGGAGTGAAATGGTGCGATCTCGGCTCACTGCAACCTCCACCTCCCGGGTTCAAGCAATTCTCCTGCCTCAGCCTCCTGAGTAGCTTACAGGCGTATGCCACCACACCCGGCTAGAAAAGTATAATTTTTAAATAGGGATGAGGAGAAAACATTTCTGAATAATAGTCTACTGCAGTGCCAAGCTGTTCTTCAAAGTGCCTGTCCTCATGTACCCCTGTCAGTCATATACGTGTCCTGAGTGTCATGTAAGTACCCACTGATCCATCTCCTTGCTAACCCCTAGTATTATCAGATGCCCTTAATTTTGCCAATCCAGTGGGTATAAAATGAGATCTCACTGTGGTCTTATTTTGCATTTGCTTGGTTACTGATGAGTAGCTTATCACATGTTTACATACCATCTGTGTTAATTTTTTAAAATAAAATGCTTGCTCATGCTTTTTCGCCCATTTGAAAAAAAACTTGGGGCCGGGTGTGATGGCTCACGCCCATGGTCCCAGCACTTTGAGAAGCTGAGGCAGGCAGATCATTTGAGCCTTGGCAACATGGTGAAAACCTGTCTTTACAAAAAATACAAAAATTAGCTGGGCATGGTTGTGTGCACCTGTAGTCCCAGCTACTCAGGAGGCTCGCTTGACCCCAGGAGGCAGAGGTTACAGTCAGCCAAGACTGTGTCACTGCACTTCAGCCTGGGCAACAGGGTAAGATCTTGTCTCAAAAAACAAACACATAAACAAAGTAAAAGCAAAACAAAATAAAAAAACCAATTGTGTTTCTTTGTCCTGATTCCTAAAAGGTCTTTATGTATTCTAGATAATAATCTTTGGTCAGTTAAAAAATATCTCCTTTGTGGCGGGGCACAGTGGCTCACACCTGTAATCCTAGCACTTTGGGAGGCCAAGGTGGGTGGATCATCTGAGGTCAGGAGTTCAAGACCAGTCTGGTCAACATGGTGAAACCCCATCCTTACTAAATAAGTACAAAAATTAGCTGGGTATGGTGGTGGGTGCCTGTAATGCCAGCTGCTTGGGGGCTGAGGCAGGAGAATCACTTGAACCCAGGAGGCAGAGGTTGCAGTGAGCCAAGATTGTGTCACTGCACTCCAGCCTGGGTGACAAAAGCAAAATTTGTCTCCAAAAATATGAATATGTATCCTTTGTCATTTACTTTTCCCTTTTTAAACATTTTTATAAAATTCTTTTTTATTTTTACTTTTAGTAGAGATGAGGTTATGTTGCCCGGGCTGGTCTTGAACTCCTCAGCTCAAGTGATCTTGCCACCTCAGCTTTCCAAAGTGCTGGAATTGCAGACATGAGCCACCACACCCCACCCGTTTTTCTCTAATTAATGATGTCTTTCTTTTTCTGGTAATAAGCAAAAAGTTCTTCATTTGATTTGGTTAAATTTATAACTGTTTTCTCATATAGTTAATATTTTTGTTGCCTGGCTAAAGAAATCTTTTTCTCTCCCAATATTATAAAGATGTTTGCCCACATTTTATTCCAAAAGTTTTAAGTTTTGTCTTTCATATTTAAGTCTAACATATCAGGAATTGACTTTTGTGCTTGTTGGAAGGTAAGGACCTGATTCCATGGCTTGCATATAGGTAACCACTAGTCCCTGCACCATTTATTCTATACTTTGTCTTTTCCTGTGGATCTGCAATCTCATCTACCATTCATCAAGTTCCACATGGCTGTGGGTCTGCTTCTGAGCTCCTTGTTCTGTTCCATTGTCAATTTGTCTATCCTGTGCCAGTTTCACACTGTGTTTATTACAATAGCTTTGTAACAGCTCTGATAGCTGGTAGGACATCTCCCTCCACCTTCTTTTTCTACTTCAGAAATGTCTTAGCTAAGCCGGGCATGGTGTCTCACATCTGTAATCCCAGCACTTTGGGAGGCCAAAGCAGATGGATCACTTGAGGTCAGGAGTTTGAGACCAGCCTGGCCAACATGGGGAAATGCTGTCTCTACTAAAAATGACAAAAATTAGCCAGGCATGGTGGCATAGGCCTGTAATCCCAGCTATTTGGGAGGCTGAGGCAGGAGAATCGCTGGAACCCAGGAGGTGGAGGTTATAGTGAGTGGAGATTGTGCCATTGCACTCCAGCCTCGGCGACAGGGCAAGACTCTGTCTCAAAAAAAAAAAGAAAGAAAGAAAAAGAAAGAAAGAAAGAAGAAAGAAAGAAAGAAAGAAAAAGAGAAAGAAAGAAAGAAAGAAAGAAAGAAAGAAAGAAAGAAAGAAAGAAAGAAAGAAAGAAAGAGAGGGAAAGAGAAATGTCTTGGTTATTCTTAGTTCCTTGTTCTTCGATCTAGGTTTTAGAAGCTGAATTTGAAACGATTTTGATTGGAATTTCATCAAATCTACAGGTCAATTTAGGGAGAGTTGACAATTTTACCAATTGAGTCATTCATATGGTGTTCTGGTAAGAATAAAAGAACAA